CCCCAAAACCCCAAAACCCCAAAACCCCTATATATAATATTCCGATTGACAATGATTACAAATCACCTAAATATGAAGAAAATCCTTTTCGTATTGGCCCTATTTATTGCTCTCAGCTACGCTGATGGAGAATGTGCAGTCATAAAATGCGGCAACATTAAGAAAGATGGAGACACTCACTTCTGCGCACAGAGAATTGACGGAACAGAAGGCAACCCTACTTCATTGAGGGCCATGAAGTGTCCTTCCGGTCAGTTCTGCCAAGCAGGTGCTTGGCCTGATCCAATGAGTGCTATGGCATATTACGATACTTTGGTTTGTGGAGATTTAAGTCCTAACGGCTTCCCCCAAGAGTTTACTCCTGTTGCTGGGGTAGGCTTAGATGGAGACTATTGTATTTCCGTTGCTGATTGCTTTACGTCTACTGAGAATGCAGCTATTTGCCAAACTAATGTTTGCAGAGCCTCAACTATGAGTGGATCTGCATGTGCTGGAGACTCAAGAAATTGCCCAATCGGCCACTTTTGTAGCAATGATAATGTATGCGCTCCATTATTGAAAAGAGGAGAATTTTGCTCTGAAGATTCACAATGTGAAAGAAATCATGACTGTATCAAAACTGAAAAAGATAACAATTTTGTATGCACTGCTTATGGAAGTTTAAAAAATGGAGATTTGTTCCAAAGGAGTCCAAGTCATAACGATGTAACTCCAATGGGATTCCTGAAAGAAGCTAGACAGAACGGTAATTCTGTTGGAGAGGTTCCCGTATATGTTTCCAATGTATGCAAAACAACAGGAGAAGTAACTGTCGCTTACTATCAACAATGCAGATATCATATGAGAAATAAAGACCAAACCTACATGAAAAAAAATATAATGGAAAACTGCGTAGTTTTTGGGTTCTCAGATGAGAATCCTGACAATTATAATCAGCCAATATTTGATGAAACGGTTCCTCTTTGTGGGTTTAACAAAAATAGTAAACCTATCTGTCCTCTATTCCTCGGAGATGACTACATCCAAAAGCTTCTAAGTAAATTACAAGGCTTGTTTAGCAAAATGAACTGTCACAGACTCTCAGGTGTTACCAATTTTGGTGGTGGGTCTGTCTGTAATGACTTCTACAAGATTGGAGACACCAAGGGTGCCTTCAATCTTTTCAGACTTAGCCAGGTTCTCGATTCCCAAACATGGGCGAACACTGCTAATAATGCTAGGTGCGTAGCCAAGACCGTCACCTACAGAAACTGGTTCGGATTTGAGAAATATTTCCTTGAAGAAGGAGAAGAAGAAAACCAGGAGTCCCAATAACTTCTAATATGATGGAATTAAAGCTTCAATTGGGTCAAGGTTAGAAGGGGTTTTGGGGTTTTGGGGTTTTGGGGTTTTGGT